ATAGTCAAAAGTAGATAAATATATTTTCTAGAATTTCTGGAACTTGGTAATGATTTGGCAAAAAAACTATTTCATATGTAGGTTTTTTTTTTGTTGTTTGCTTTTTGCTATATGTAGTTTTAATCTGTATTGTTTTAATAAGATGATGTATAAGTTAATGCTGAGTGTGCAGGAATCAAGATAATGGTACACCTTAGATTTGGACAAGGGGTAAGAAAATGAGGGTCTGCTGCATATTTTGGACTGCAACTCCTATTAGGTCTAATTAACGTAGTTAATTTTTTTGGTTTAAATGCTGCCATTGTTCAATCGATGGCTTCTAGATAAAAGCAAAAACCCCCAAAAATGTGTAATCAAAAGAATAAAACAGGTAACAGTAAGCATCATGGTGAATCTCATCAGCAACAAACGTATGCACCCAACAAGGGGCTTGAATTATTCTAACCCATAGCTTGGTCTCCAGAACCTTATTCCAGAGGGCATGCTCTGTCATAGAGAAGGCATGTTTCTGGGGTCCTATGTATGACACTGATTCATCAAAGCAATCCAGAACGTGCTAACTGTGTCAGATTAAATCAGGCTGACTCTAGAGATAGACAATCCCTCAATTAATCAGACCCTTTGCCGTGTAGGACTTTATGTATCACAACCAGCACCTTGAATTGCATCTTGAACCAACTGGCAGCCCTTGCAACTCATGAAACAATCATATTACTGCTTGTGCAGCTGCATTCTGGACATTTGAAAGCTTTGAATGATTTTCAAGGTAGCTCCACAGGAAAGTCTTTGCAGGAATTGACCCATGAGTTGACTTAGGGCATAAGTGCTTATCTAGATCTAGGAAGTACAACTGGCACACCAGATGAAATTTCACAAAGACCTTCCTGACCACATCTGCCACCTGCTCATCAAACACAAGCTGTGAATCTTGGAAGACTCAGAGATAGCACTTCCCCATTCAATAGGGAACCTTGGATGCAATCCCATCCAAGGTTAGCAAACACATTCCTATGGGCCCACTTAAACGTTGGGCCCGTTTAAATGGGCCAACATTCATTGCCAGCTGGTCTTGGTAAGACTTGGTAAATCAGAGAGTTTCCTTCCATTCAGACCTAAATAGCCTACAAATATTGAGATAGCATCTGGGAAACCTCAGTTGGCTGCCTGGGACTAAAAAATGTGATTGAATATTATCAGCATACTGATGATACCAGACCCCAAATGGTGAATGATTTCATTTGGCAATTCCATGTAGATGTTGAACGGTGAGAATGTCAAGGCCTGCCATATTCCACAAAAGAGGGACAAAAGTGAGGCATTATGGAAGATATAGTTAAAGACCCCAAGAGTTACCAGCTTATTTAGTACTACCTTAGATGTACAGTATTTATATTTCTAGGCTGGTGTCTACTAACATCTCAGTCTGCTTCCAATAGTGGGAGTATCTTAGCGAAAGCGGGATTTTTAACTTACTTTAGGAAGGTGCATTAAGAGTCTTATGACAGTTGCCAATCCAAAATTCTGTGTGTCCCAACAGCACAGTTATAACCCATACCATTTGATACCACTTTAGAGATACTGCTAAGAAAAAGAAATGATTCACCAAATAGAAAGAAAATGGAATTGGACCTGTTCCCATTCTGAATCCCATTCGCTAAATAGATCTAATCCACTTAAGGAGCTCCTTGTCTCTGGTCTGCCGACATTATTTGGCTGCAGTTTTTCTTCCCTGAGCACAATTTTTCCCCTTTTGAGGTTGATGCTAATCCTCATTCTGCTATAGTCCTTAAACTAATAAAAGATTAGACTGACATTTCCAAAAGGGCATCACATTAGCAGCAGCTTTCACCATCTCCACAGATCACATGGTGGAACACACCATTAGTGAACAGGCCATTAATCTTATGGTAATGAAGGGTACAGGAATAATGAGGAGCCTGAATCTTAGTGCCACAGGTAACTTTGTCAGGCTAGAGAAGCTGCATATAATGCTGTGATATCAGAAACAGCCTCTTGTCACCACAGCATTCTACAAGCAACAAAAGAGAACAAGCACCCACTCTGATCAGTCACTGTGTGTATTGTCTGCAACTAATGAGCCTTCCCCTATGCTCTAATTAGTGGCATAAAACTGCTTTAACAACTCTGCCTATGCTATAATGTGGAATCAATTAGGATTAGCTGCAAAATAAAGGGTCTGTTTTCGTGGCTTTCCCACCAGGCTATAATCACTAGTGAAAGTAACCAACAAAAACCCTGACGATGGTTAGACATACTTCCTGAGACCTAATGACAGCTCTTTCAGTTCCACTATAGAGTTTGCTGAAGCCAATGTACTGCCTAATTAATCAATACACCATCTAGTGTAGAAAGCAGCCTCCTGAATTTGATTCTATTCTCTTGCAAACCATGCAGCTCTAAAAGAAACAGATGGCAGTGCCAAACTGAGCTAATTATCCCTCTTCTGATTTCTTGTGTATTAACACTTTTCTCATGAAAGTCTGAGACTCTTTAAGCAGTTTCCGGTTTCTCCCTACGTAAACGGCAATCCTTTTAAATATTACTGTGTAGGGAAAGGGGTTCCCTTTTAAAAAGAAGATGTTTGTGTAAGCTTCTCTAAAGGTAAAGGTAAAGGTTCTCCTTGCACATATGTGCTAGTCGTTCCCAATTCTAGGGGGTGGTGCTCATCTCCGTTTCTAAGCCGAAGAGCCAGCGCTGTCGGATGACAATTCCGTGGTCGTGTGGCCGGCATGACTAAACACCGAAGGCGCACGGAACGCTGTTACCTTCCCACCAAGGTGGTCCCTATTTTTTTACTTGCATTTTTACATGCTTTCAAACTGCTAGGTTGGCAGAAGCTGGGGCACGTAACAGGAGCTCACTCCGTTACGCGGCTTTAGGGATTCAAACTGCTGAACTGTTGACCTTTCTGATCGACAGGCTCAGAGTCTTAACCACTGAGCCACAACATCCCCGTGCTTCTCTAGGGCACCATATATTTCCAGAACTTTGGGTACAGAAAAAGGCCGACCGGATTGGTTTGTTATCTGTCAGAGTGTCTTCATTGATTTTATGGAGTACTTTCAAATAAGATTATTATTCTGCTGTGTCCTGCTACATTCATGAAATGTTTTGGGAAGACTCTGTTGTCCTCTTCTATTCATAGCACAACAAAATTGTTTTGCACTTTTTGACTTTTTTCTTAGCATTTATAAAACTACGTTAAAGAGGGAAACCAGAATAATTGGTGAATGGCCTCTGGGTAAGGCATTGCTAGGAACTGTTCATCAAAATGTGTCCCTCGTGTGGCTGAGAATTTGCTGCATACTTGAGTTTCCTATAGCTGTAAAAAGTTGGATATGATATACATTTTTTATGATTTGCTTTTCACTGCTGATCCCTTTTCTCCTTCCGTGACTGCTATATGATTTGTTATATATTTTTACTGTGGGGTGAGCCACTCTGGGTTTCTTTAAGAGCCACAGATGGTACAGTGTGCATTTGTACCAGTAGAGTTGGATATACTTATTTAAAAAAAAACAAAACAGAAATGAAACAAACCACACACTATTCTGAACTGGGCTTTTCTCCATTAACCTATTATAAAGAGGTTGGAAAATGTGCATAACTCATTCACATGTGTGTAGGAGAACAATCAATTTGTTTTGGTGAGTAGGAATGACCTGCACTAAGTCTGCGTCAAGAAAATATTTTTAATTGTACCAAGTAATAGCTTTGATATTTTTTTTTTTAAAAAAATGCATTCATTCTGATGTAGCTTGGCTTCCTTTACTACAATTTGCTCTATAGAGATCTTCGGCAGCGCACATGCTGTTTATGACAGTAGCAGCAGGCAATCTGGGGAAGAAGCCAGGTGGTAAATTCATGATTTATCAACTGCCTTGTGCCCCAAAGGAAACACAATTCAGCCACACAATAAAAAGAAATACTAGACAATGTGATGCACAATTAAGGGTGTCATAATCATCTAAAAACGACTGACATGAACTAGTCTATTTCTCTACAGGAAATAGATTTGGATTAACTATTTGGTATAATTTCCTATAAGAATTGCCAATGGGGAGAAAGTGTGTTTGGTTGTTTCATTGTGTTATGTCTTTCTTTACTGGAGGCTGTCAAACAAATGCTGGGAAGCTATTTATCCAAAGTGCTTTAACATGCATCAAGTGGTGAGTTGGGTTAGATGACTTTTGAGATCTGTCAGCCCTGGAGGCCATCTTTTTCTTTGGATCTTCAGGGCTGCCACACTTAGTGCTGTGGGAAACTGGGAGTGGAGATTGCATGGAGTTGCAGGAATATCTAGCCATAATAACATTCTTTTCTCTGAGAGTCAAGGACATTCTGCCCTTCACCTGGAATGGCGTGACTGGGAGGCATCTCCAGTTGGGACGGTGCATTCATTGGACCATGTGATGGACATGTGAGTGCAGGGGGAAGGGATTTGAACTTTCTTTTGGGTGGGGAAAACCTGGAAGCTTTCAGATTCAGATTTTCCCCAGATGTACCAATATGACATCTCTAATATAATGTAACTTTGAGGAACTTCTAGCCTTGGAGTCTTCTTTCATTGGGGGTGTTACTTGGAACCCTGACAAGATCTTTTCAATTCTCTGATTCTTGGATTCTATGAATTTAACTGAAAACAATTAGTATCTAAAGCTTTGTTCGAAAATGATGATGAGGAAAGAATCAAAATGTCTCCTTAGAACAAAACTGAGCTTATAGAGTAATACAAGATTGGTGAAACAATTAAGTGAAGGTTATTTATTTTATTTATTTTTCACTTTGATTATTGAGGATGGATGGCTTGGTGGGTGGGGATTGTTTCTATTGCTAACTTTTCACACTGCCTCTTGCTCTAGAATCTAGTAAAAGCAGATTTCCAAGGCAGAGAACATATACAGTCTAAAATGGTAAATTATGTTAATCTTATTAATATAGTGCTGGATTTTTTTACTAATTCTGTCAGTCAGACTTACCTGTATATAGTTGTAGGTGGACCATTCACTGTGTCATAGATAAGTCTCACATGCCCTTGATACAATTCTAAAGCCAGGGGATCATTATCCCCTTTGTATAATAAGATGCCATTGTCCTTATCAGTTGCTACCTTTAAACAGAAGAAAAAGAAAATTAATAACGATATAAAAGCAAGCAAATATGTACATTCCTATATTGTTAACTACATTTTTTAAAAATTTGAAATTAATTCCAAATTTGCCCCATTGTTATTCAGTGATGAGAATTGGTCTATGGCTTTCCAAAGACATATCCTCGGTACACCACAAATATTAGGATGTAAGTTACAGTTACCATGATGTAAATTATAACTTTCTCAGTTTCCTTAATATAAGTGCTCACATTTAATAAATGGAATACTGAGATTCCTTAGTCATGTCAGAAAGATCATTGGAATACTGGATTATGGAGTGTGCTTGTCTCAGATAAATACCCATCAATTCAGTTTTGAAGAGAGTTATGAGCATATAAAGATGACATGTTGAGTGACTGCAGTGCAGCAGTGACTAAGCTGGAAACTCTGTCTTTGTGTGTTTTATGGTTCATCTTTTCCACCCGAAAAACTTGTGCACTAGCTAGCTGAGCTGTTGTAAAAGATGTAACTCAAATATAGTTTTCCAACATGTATCTGGTAACTTTAAATAATCCCCGGTGTTACTTGTGAAAGAACTTTCTTCCCCAATTATAAGAGATTTAGGGCAACATAATACCTTTCTAAAAACTTTATTGACACATACACTCCTTATAAAAACAGCCGCCTTACTGAAAGTTATAGTTTATACAGTCTGCCCAAAAGGAAAGACTAGGTGTGTTTATGTGTGGTGAGTTATAACACATTAAATCTTATAAAAATAAGAATAATAAAATAACCCTCTCCCAATATAGATTCTCTTTTTGTGTGCTTTAAAGTCAGTCTTGATTCCTGCTGACTGCCTGAGCAAGTCCCTGTAGTTGTTTTGACAAAAATTCAGAACTGGTTTGCCCTTGCTTGCTTCCTAGCACTAAGAGAGAAGGACTGGCCCAATGTCATCCAGCTTGGGAGCCTAAGGTGAGTCTAGAATTCACACTTTTCTGGTTTCCAGCCTGATGCCATAATCATTACACCAAACTGTCTCCAAGAAAGATATTAGTAATATTTAAATAGGATTGAGAGTTCAGTGAAAAAGAAGTGATTTTTAGAGATCTTTGACACTAAATGCCACAAAGTTGAAGTCACAAAATGAGAGGACCATCTTATCGATGTTCCTATAAAGAGCCTTGGTAGTACAGGGGTTTAAGGCACCCTGTTATTAAGCTTATTAAGACCAGCTGCCTGCAATTACTGCAGGGTTCGAATCTCGCCAAGGCTCAAGGTTGACTCAGCCTTCCATCCTTTCTAAGGTAGGTGAAATGAGGACCCAGTTGTGGGGGCAATAAGCTGACTTTGTATAAATATACAAAAGGATGAAGGCTATTGCTGAGCACATTGTAAGCCGCCCTGAGTCTTCGGAGAAGGGCGGCATATAAATCAAATTAAAAAAAAAAAACATCAGATACCTTCCAGAGATGTTCCCATAGGATGGATACATTCAATTTTGGGAAGGTTGTGTATATAGGACTGACAGAGACTGAATGATATGAATGCGAACAAGTGTTGTACATGTTTTGAAAATGATTCATAAGAAATGGTTTGGGTTTGTAAGAACAAAAAATTGCTATGTTATTTTTTTTAAAAAATCAGCCTATCTTCCAGTTATATCTGTCCTCTATATATTATGGCTGTGTTAAAACAGCAAAATAAGTAATACTTATTTTATAGAATAAAGTAATGTTTTACTTTACAAAATATTTTACAAAATAAGTAATAAGTATACTATATAAATGTCATAAAAATCGTATTTAAAAGAAAAGTTTTTCCAAGCTTGTAAGCTGAAATTTATTTATCAGCTTTCCTTTCATTAGGAAAGACTTCTGAATCCTGTTTCAAAAGATGCTTACTTAAAACTAATTTTTTCATAAGAGTGGCAATTAACTACCAGATGGAGAAGCAATGTTTTAACTGGAAAATAAGCTTTGAGAACACCATCTGTGTGAAATTCATGTAGTAAACAAGTCTGGCTTTCATATTATCATCCAAAATTCATTTTTATCAGAATTATTTTTTGAAATAAATCTAAAATGTGAACTATGTAAACTGTCCTGAGGTCATAACTCATGTGATATATTTTACTCTTTTATACATGCAGAACTAGGGAAAAGTGTAAAGGAAGATCTTTTAAAAAAACAAAATAAGATCATCTGTCTTCTTTCTGTATTTTGGAGAAAAGTCTTGATGAGGCAAAAAATAGATTTCTTACACTAAGAGTTGTATAGGCTGCATTGTAAAATGGAGCAGATTGATTTAATAAGCTGCTAAAAATATGAGTTATTACAGGTGATTTCTTTTTTCTTTTTTTACCAGCAAAGTGAAGTATGTAACTGTCCTTTGATCAAGGACTGTGTGTGTAGCTTTGAGTGGCGTATCAGAGGCTGTACGAACAATAAATAACTTAATCTTATTCAATTGATATGGTTATTTCCAACATATTTAATAATGTTATCTTTTGGTTACACTACAAAATCCAATTCTGGAGTATTTAGGATTTGGGGGACTGAATGAAACCCTAAGGTTTTAAGTTGTGTACATCTTTCATATTAATTAATTTATTTATTTGGGTTGAACATCGGGGATGAATGTAATGCTTTCATTGACCTTTGCATAAGCTCTTTGCAATAACTGGGTTGAGAAAGGTTTATAATATTATCTGTATAACTTACTTGAAGTGAGATGTTTGCTTGAGGACGAATTTTAGCTGGTGGAAGCTCAACGTAGGAATCCTTCCCAACAAAATTGACAGTAATGAGTTTCTCACACTTCTGGCCAGCAAAACCTGCCAGGCAACGGCAGACTGGTTCCTGCTGCACAACAATACATTGCGCTCCATTTTGGCATTCATAATAATCACAAGGGCTGGTCTGGAGGAGAACCATGGGTGGTGGATTTTCACAGAAGAGTCCACTTGAAAAATAGAAAATGGTCAATGTTAATTTGAGGCACAAAAGCATTAAACAGAAGTTTAGTGATATGTGGTTTTACATAAATATCTTTTGCTGCTGTAGGATACTTCAAGTTGACAAATATTGGTTCAAACTTTAACATTTCCAATGAACATTTCAATATTTTCGGGGATTCTAAGAACATCTGCATATGGAACAGCTATATCACAATAGCTACTACCTGATTTTGAAAAAAAAACATTTTGTACTAATGAAGAAATGTTCTAGGGAAAAACTATATGTTTATTACTGTAATTTATTCAATTTCTATAGCTACCCATCTCAAACAAGTGATTCTATGTGGTGAACAATCATATTGTAAGGATAACACATTCATTTTATATGAAAGCGTAAAAATAATAAAGAATATATAAGGAAAGTTTACATATTAATAATTTCTTATATACTAACAGTCCTCCAATTTTCCTGTATCTTGTAGTAGAAAACTTTCCATTCACTTGTGTCTTGACCAAACCAGAAAGGACAAAAATTGGTCTTCTAAAATAATGGTTACATTAAACAATGTATCTTGATTATTTCACCATGAAACATTCAGTTAAGATAGAGGAGTCTCCCTTTCCCTTCCAGATATATTGTAATTCTTTAAAAACCAGCCAAACTGCCATTATTCCCAATCTATCTGGAGGACATCAGATAAAGAAAGTTTGAATGAATGTGACCATTATAAGAAAAAAAAAATCCCTAATATTTCAAAGCTAAACTATGTATTTCAAAAAAAAATCTTTAAAAATAAGACAGTCCTGAAATAAAATAAAATAAAACCCTATGTGGAATATTTTAATTTTTCAATGAAAACAAACAGTTCTTTCTTATCAGTGTTTCTTAAACATGGGCTATGCAGTTATACACTTTTCTACTTTAGAAATACAACTCATTTTAAATTTTTTCTTTTTTGACTTTCTTATATTCATATTTTTCTTTTACTCTGATCAAAAACTGATCAGACAATGTGAAACATGAATCTGACTCTTTTTTGCCCCAGTAACATCTGGACTTTTTTTTAAAATCAGTATTAACCATACATCTTGTGCTGACAATGTTGATATTCAAGAAAAAAAATAGCTACAGCAAGAAGTTTGAGTTAGATTGGAAATGTTGCATGGGATGAGAAGGTCTTAAACAGTGTTGCCATCGTTCCAAAGGGATTTCCTACATTGGGGGTGTCAAACTCATGGTATCATGTTGTCATCAAGTGACGTATCACAATTCCCCTCCTTCACTAAACCGGGGGTGAGCATGGCCAGCGTGTAACGCATCCGGTCCATAGGCCGTGAATTTGACATCACTACCCTACATTATATTTTCAAGAGAAAGTAAGTTTTTATTTTAACTTTCAAGAAAGGTATGGTATACCTTCACTATGTTTGCATGTGTACCAGGCTGTAGACCGGAGCTTGGGGACCTCAGTTCTAAAGGAGACTTTATAATAATATTTACACTGTTTCATTCTTTTCTGCCTTAATGCTTTCACTTCTCTGAATTCCTTTTCCAAGTAGTTTTCTAGTCATTGGTAGGCCAGTGGTGAACACTATAATAAAAATACATTATTGCTGGATGAAAATGTGCAAAGAACAACTGTATTCATTTATGAACAGGTGACCTGGATTATTCTTACTGTACATTAATATTCTGTGCTGCCATATTCATCCAATTTTCAAATCCTCCAAATGGAACATGTTAATCAGGCAATGGTAAAGTTGAAAAGAGAAAGCCTATTTTTTTTTACTAAGTTTTTAAACAAAAGCTTTCCAAAACTAGCCAATCAATGTGCACAGCATAATGAGCAAATCATTACAGGTAGTCCTCAATTTACAATCAGTCACTTAGCAACCGTTCAAAGTTATAAAAGACTCCTCAGTACTTATGGCTTAGAGTCAAAGTTCTGATGGCTATCTCAGGCACATGACAACCGGCCTGCATTGTTTGCAATGTCCCACAATTATGTGATCATGATTTATGTTTTTTATGGGGAACTGGCCCCTTGCAGATAGTAAATTTGCCTAATGACTCTGCACCCACTTAATGACCATGGATTTTCTTAACAGTTAATGCAAAAAAAAAAAAAGTCATAAAATTGGGTAAGTCATGCGATGATCTGCTTTAATGACTGGTACAATTTACGACCATAATTCCAGGCTCAATTATGGTTGTAAGTCAATACAACCTATAACTTATTCTAATCATTTTGAATCATTACAATTTTGGAATGATTAACGCAATCAAAATCACGCCGTTTTATCTGAAAGATAGAAAGCAGTGGTGCGTTGCTCCTGGTTCGGTCTGGTTCTATAGAACTGGTAGTAAAACCAGTGGGAGGCTTCACCCTCCCACCATGATGTCATCATGGGTGATTTGCATATGCACAGAAGCTCCTGCTGTGAACCGGTAGTAAAGGTAAGTGGAACTCACCCCTGATACAAAGCATATGTGTTTCCCGGTGAGGCATTTTATTGTGAAAAAAATAGGAGTGTAAACCAACAACCGGTAGCGCTCACATTTTTGGTTCTGCACTAGGAGAACCAGTTGTTAACTTATGTGAAGCCCACCTCTGGGTACTGCAACCTTCTCTAACTTGGTGACGTTGGACTAACTTTTCCAGTCATGGTAAATCATCAAATTGGGAAAAGGTAAGACAGTAAAATGCTAGAAAAAATTCTTCTGCCCAGTTTGTATAGCTTGTTATATCTGCTGGAATTTGTGGTGGTCAACATAGACCAATCACCTAGTTCCTTGTTAGCTAACAGAGTTCTTTGCATAAGGAGTATGCAGGATGCAAGCAGGAAGCAAAGGTCAGGTTTAAGCTATCTACTCTGGTTATTTTGCTTTTAATATGCCATTGAAAATCCTTGATTTTAAATCTTATTATGTTTTGTAACTTTATCTTAAATATAACAATAAACTTGCTATCTGGTTTGTCCAACCAGGAAACTTCATTACATACCAATCAATAGGCCTGCAATTGATTTACTGTTATAATACATGCTCCTTTGAGAGCATTTTTTTCTTTTTTTCAAGCCAAAAAGGTGAGTAAATTAAGTGAGTAAATACTTATTTCTCAGATGATTATAATAACCCAATCCTGAACATGTAAATGAATTTTAGTGATTTTAATGTTAACTATTCCCTTGGATACTATATATAGAATTGTGATTTGAACATTTACAGAGCAACTCAAAGAAACAGCTATGGATAAAAACAGCCCTAGCTATGTTCTAGTAACCCATATTTCCCTTCACCAAGTTGGTCTGTGCTATCTTATCATGATGGGGAAGGAGGTATTCCTGAGAGGGATACATGAAGAACATTGAGAGTGTATGCCAGGAGTATATATTCCCAGTAGGATTAACCAAGGCACAAAAGTCATTCCAGCTGCCCAGTTAAAGGAAGCAGGCATCTATATTAGTTAGACATATACTGTAGATCTGTATATAAGAAGGCACCAGAGGTGGACGATCATCTTAATGACAATGGCAAAGACATAAATTCATATTAAGTGGCAAAAGCCATGGTAAACCACCCCTGTAGGACAACCACATGGACAAATTGACTAATGACATAATCCTGGATGAGGGGATCCCTCAAGTCAGATGGCACTCAACATGCTACCAAGGAAGAGCTGAGGAACTTTCAGAGTACTAATGGTGTTTATAACAAGGCTTGATTAAAGCTTTTAGGAGTTATTGATATTGTTATTGATGATGTTATCATACATGAAAAGAAAATCTGGAGCCGCAAAAACAGAATTGCAATGGGAGCATTGACCCATAAGAAACCTAAACATAGGAAAGACTAAAACAGTGAAAGATAAAATGAAATGACTACAAATTTACATCTTAGGCACCAGTGAATTAAGATGGATTGGAATGGCACATTTTCAGAAGATCACACTGTTTATTATTCAGGAGATGAAAAAAAAAAGGAACAGTATTATTAGAAATTGTAACTTAGGACAGGTATACGTCTTAGATCATGGTAAAACCGTAAAATATAAAGAAATCCTAGATGAGGCAGGGAACCTCAAAACAATAGAACAATTAAAAGATCAAGGCACTTTTGTTGAATGGGGGACATATGCACAGATAGAATCAAGATATAAAAAAGATAAAGAACAATATGGCATAGAAATGGGTAGCAAAGATTTTGATAAGATTTGGATGAGTACAGATAACAAACTATTAGCTAAATTGTACAACTATTTAGTAGAATATGACCTGATGGAAGAAGTGGTTAAAGACCCAATGCTAGCATGGGCCAAAAATATTGGGAAAAATATAAATCTGGAAGAATGGGATCAAATATGGAACAACAATATAAAACTTACCAAGGCAACCACTTACAAGGAGAACCAGTATAAGATGATTTATAGGTGGCACCTAGCACCAGCTAGGATTGCCAAGATTTATCCCAACTCAAACCCAAAGTGCTGGAAGTGTGGACACCAGCAAGGTACTTTTTACCACTGCTGGTGGACCTGCTCTCAAGCAAAAAAATATTGGAAGATGATTTGCAATTGGCTTTCAGAAATAATAGGTGAAACCTTTGAATTAGACCCTAAAATACTTCTCCTGGGAATTCTTAAGGCGGAAATGGCAAAAAAGAAGAAATACTTGGCAGTGCATATAATAACAGCAGCAAGAATCGCTTTCGCTCAACAATGGAAAGAGAAAAAATACCAACTAAGGAACAAGTAATTGGCAAAATAATGGAATGTGCCGAAATGAATAAATTAACATTAGAAATTAATGACAGAGAAGATTCTGATTATTATAGCGTATGGGACAAGTGGTACGGGTGGTTAGAGAAGAGGAAATTGAAATAAAAAGGAAAGAGACCAGAGCAAGTACAAGAAATAGTAAAATGAAATAGAAAGAGAAGATGTACTGTGGATGGTAGGAAATATAATAAGGCAAGGAAAGGTTACATGGGTAAGCAAAAGACATG